CGGTGATCGCCTGGAGGACGTGGAAGCTTCAGAGGAAATCTATCTCCTCAAACGATGCAGAAGTGCAGGCGATCCTGGAGGCTGAGGATCAGAACTTCCGGATCCGGCTACTATGGACGGAGATGCGTGGAGCAGGCATGCGACTACACCCTCGAGATCCTCTTGTTCAGAGCGCCGAACGACAAGTCCTACGAGTGCGTGGAGTCTTGTGCACTGACTCTCGAGGCGGCTACGACGCCGTCGAAGTCAACGAGAGCCCGCTTTTGGGCTTAAGCAACATGCGAGCAGCTCTTCAAGCCTTCCAGCTGCGAGACAATCTCGAAAGAGTTGGATGCGAGCTGAGATGGCTGGCCTCCGACTACGACCTTGCAGATGCTCTGACGAAGAAGAAGCTGGAGGCTCGACAAGGACTACTGAAGTTTCTTTCGTCATGGGTGTGGTCAATTGACAATCCTCGCCTTCGGTTTGAAGGTCCCGTCGCCCTTGGGTTTCCAGCGAAAGCAAACCCTGGACTTTAGAATCAAGGCCGGGTCGATCTTGTTCACGTCCACGTAGACCGGCCTGCAACTGGACCACTTCTTCCACTCCGACCATTCGTCCAGCACCGCCTGAACAAACTGGGGTATCTCACATGGCCTGCCAGGGGAGCTCCTTCTTGAGGGCTTGACGTTGAGCGCGAGAAGGAGGTTCGGGGCAGTTGGCATCGCCACTTTCTTCGCCTGACGTATCCATGGCCATAGTCTCACTTCCACGATCGGGCCGGATAGTCTTCGCAGACAGGGCCATCAAGCCAGTCAGGACGCTCTAAAGGCCACTGGTCCATCAAAACCTTCGAGGGCGCACGGGATGTCAGCATGCCCAGCTTTCGAAGTTTGCGTCGAAGTCCTTGAGAAGCAAAAAGTTCACTTTGCGGGAGGTTGTGTCAGCGGGCGGATGTTTGGACAACCCAAAGACGCCCACCAGTGAAGTTTCCCACAGAGGTCGCCCAGTTGGGAGTGCCCTTGAGGTTGCACGCGTCACGATGACACCTGGCTCGGCCGTTCTTGGACAAGTATATGGACGTGACGCGATGTCCCCGGTCATGCCATGGTGCCTGAGATAGCCGACCAGGTAGGAAGTGAGGTGCTTGTTGGCGTAGGTCCGGTTGCTAAGGCCACTGAAGTTGCCGTGAGAGTAGAGGCCAAGCAGAAACCCGCCGCCGTGGCTGGAAGTCTTGTCGTTCCAGAAGTCTGCGAGACAGCTCCTCCGTAGCGCATGGTTGCGGTGAGCTGGAAGTCCATGTCGTAGAGGAGTCGGCACCTTCACCGTCCGTGTGGTCGCCGAAGTAGCGGGCTGCCGTCAGGTAATTGTCGTTGCGAAGGAGAACCATCCCAGCCCAGCTTGTTGGCTTCAGCTCGTCCATGTCGATGAAGAACATCTAGGCGTTGAAGAGCTCGTCGCTGAACACAAGGGTAGTTGCTGTAGTCTTCGGCTGCATTCGCAGTAGAAAGAAGAAACGAATTCAGGTAGGGGTTCCGAGGTCGGACCTGCTGTTGTAGCATTGAAGGTTGGGCCCTGGAAGTCCTCAAAGTGTTGCTCCAGAGCCTCTCTTTCCTTCACCTCGTCGAACCAAGAAATCACATTCATCGGAGTGTCCACGGTGTGGATGCTGGAGCACCTTGAACAAGTGCTCACTCCGTCGAGTAAGACGCGATGCTGTTCACCGCAATCTCGACAAAACATCAGGAAAACCTGCGCATTGGGCTCGTCCAGAGGTCTGCCGTCTGTAGCTGGTCTCACCGCCGGGGTAGAGCTTTCCGGAAGGGGATCACCAGGTCGTTTAGTGCCACGCGAAGATCCCTGTGAAGTCATATGGTCCATCAAGGACTCCAGGTCGCGCTCAAGCTGCGAAGTGCCAAGAGACGATCTTCGTATCCCAGACGACTCCTGCGAAGTTTGTCGAAGTCTGACCTGAAGGACCAGATGCTTGCGGCATGTGGGCATTGCCCAGGGGACCAGATGCTTGCGGCAGATAATCATCGAAGACGACCCTCTGTTCTGATGGCTGCGCTTGTAGTTCCGACGGTGATGTCCTCTGTTCTGATGGCTGCGCTTGTAGTTCCGACGGTGATGTCCTCTGTTCTGAGGGCTGTGCTTGGGGTAGTTCCGATGGTGATGTCCTCTGTTCTGATGCTCGGGCTTGTTGTAGAGGAGGTAACGGGCTCAGCTTAGGGAGAGGAACTAATGATGTTCGTCTCGAGGGAGTCGAAGTCTTGCTCCTACTTCTTGCCCTTGCTCTGGGAGTACTCGGCACCGACTTTGGAGTAGCTGAAATCATCATCATCGGGGCCAACATCGGAAGTGGTTGTCCAACTTGTAGTGGCTGACCTGCCGCATCCAGCACCGGCTGACCGGATCCATCCAGAGCAAGAGTAGGCTCGGGTCGAAGGGCATCCAAAATGACACCATCGGTCGCCTCGTCGGGGACCGCGGCAACAGGAAGGCGAAAAGCCAAACCGGCCAAACCGGGGTCCACAGCAGGCGGCACATCGCCGGCTCGTTCGGCGAGAGTGTGCTTGTCCGACAAATCCTGGTCAGAATCTCATCAGACGGAGTCCACCACTCCTCCTCGCCGGACACATGCCTGCATTGTTCCTTGCTGGCCGAAATGAGACGACCGCGATTGTTGCGGATCCACAAAGTAGAGCCGTCAATGGCGACCACAATGCCCTGGCGATAGCCCTCGAGAGTGCCCTCGCCGTCGGCAGAGTTGCGGAGGCGGTAGTAGGCGACCTTTTGACCCACCTCGAAAGGACCGCGAGCAGGGCGAGGTTTGCGTAGAAGAGCAGTACGAAGGCCATTGTCTGCTTCGAACTGATGAAACAACATCATTGCACCTGCTCCACATGTCGTAGCCGGTCTGAATCAGTATGCAGTTGGCATGCTGCAATGCCACCACCCGAAGAGAGGAGGGCTCCCGGAATTTTGGGGTTCCGACCAGCTCTTCGCATCAAGCTGTTTACATTGAGTTCCTCACATCCAACAGGCGCAAACTGAGAAACCAAGCGCTGCACAATGTACTTGACAGCTTGGCCGCGACGCTCGACCCGGCCCGTTTGATAATGTGCATCGATGGCATCAGCAGGTGCGTAGCGAACTTTGACAGCGCACTGGGCCTGGAGATTCTCGAAGCGGTAGCCGCGGAAGCTTCCATCGGCATCCAGAAGGATTTCATCGGGCGGTCCAAAGAACGAGAACCATCCATTGATGAGCTATATCATCACCTCTTCCTCGGATCTGTCGCGGAGGTAGTTTAGCACGTGGTAGCAGGTCGCATCGTCAACTTGGGAGAGGTAGCCGTGAATCTTGCCCTTGATGTCCTTGAGCCATAAGGCATCCAAATCCAAGTGGTCGTTGAATCGCCTGGGAGTGAACGCCTTGGTCGGCCGGGGTTCACGAGGAGGTTGTACCCGAAGGCAAACTTCACATCGGAGATGTCTTGCTGCTTGAAGAGCTGCCTCGGAAGCTCCAGCTGCCGAAAGTTGCCGCACCATCGTTGCCTTCGACGGATGTCCCAGATTGGTGTGCAAATGTCGCATCACTTGCAGCAACCAGGCCGGGGAAAGTGATGTCGTGGAAACCTGGTTCATGAGGTCGCAGAAGATCAGTCTCTTCGATGTCCCGGTTGTCAGCTCGAGGTCGCGCAGCCTCTGGTGTTGAGGCTGCTGGCGGGCGCAATCCCAAAGAAGAAAATGGCGATCCTGACCGGCGTGGCAAACTTGTTGGCTGACTGCGAGATGATCTGGTCAACGGCTTCGGCCTCGATCTTGACAGATCCATCGTTGCGCCATAAAACGGCACCTCGATGGGCGGCGCCAGCTTGGAGCACCTCAAGTGGGAGGCGCTTCTGAGCCTGAGTCCTGCAAATCTGCACACGATCAAGAGTCCATGGGACGAGGGCTCGGAGCTGCTCGCCGCAAGGGGTGCTCAGGAAAATGAGGCACCTTGTTGCGCAGCTGCTCCTTGGCTTCTGGAAGAAGAGGCATCCAAGACGATTCATGTCGGCTCACATCAAGGAAGTAGCTGACGTACTCGGGCTCGTCATCTCCTGGAGGTCTCCATGGAAGGGTGGCCGTGGAAGAATCGACTGTCCAGGAAAAGTTTGCTTCATTCAGCGCGAATCTCTCGTCACCGGCCTCCTTCAGGGAGGCGATCAGTTCCTGTACAACAGCCTGAGCGGAAGTCGCCATCGCCGAGGAAGTCGAAGGGGCCTGCTTTGTCGTAGCATCCATGACAGAGTGGCTTACATCGACACGTGGCGGGGCCAACTTCTCCAGCATCGCAGGCAAGTCCGACATCCAGCCGAAGGGCTCCGAAGATTGTGGAGCATGCCCAACAACGAGTCTTGCATTCGTTTGATGCCGCAGTTTACTTAGTCCCGCGTGCTTCCAAACCGGATCTGAAGCCGAGCTCTGCAACAGGAAGTGGGCCCGTAAGCCTCTCGGGCTGCCAAGACGGTAGTAACCACCTCGCTTGAGGACTGGATCTTGAGGTCATACGGAGGAAGGGCTTATGTTTCAAAATCATCTGTCTCAACATCAAGTCTGCCTTCTGGTGATCGGAGTTCAGGCTACGTAAGTCCCCGACTGGTTGCAGTACTCGAAGACCGGCCTGCGCTGCAGCACGTGATATAACCGCCTCGCCCGCAAAAACCTCGATCAAGTCGGACTTGTAGACGCGAGCAACACGGGTTTGCATGGCGCGAGATAAGTAGACGGCCTTCTCGGCCTCCTACATCTTGAACATTGCTTTCTCGTTCCCACGAAGTCGCTTCAACAGCCCAGTCTTGGGCCGGAAAGCGCCCCTGTCCTCATTATCCAGCGGAGAGTCCGCCGAACCATGTAGAGCACCTGGAGCGGGATCACGAAGACGTTCTAGAACTCCTTGCCGTAGGCCTCCTCGTCCTCCCAGTGCTCCGGGATCGTTCGGATCGAACCTCGATCACTCCTCTAAATCTCTAACTAGCTCATGTCGACGGGGTCCGCTGTCTCCGGGTGGGCCTCGGTCCAATCCATGTCGGAGTTGTAGACTCCCGCGCCCGTGCTCATCCGGTCGCTGTCCGATCCACGCCATTGCCTCCGTCGCAATGTGAGTGGCACAGATGTTCTTGATGCCCGCGGTGGATTCTTCGCGTCAGCTTTCAAAAACGACGCCGCTGCCATGGACGATGTTGCCGTCGACATGGGGCGAGTCAACCGACGAGGTGGCACAAATCCCTGCGAGGAGGTTGAGGAGGGCCGCGAGGATGCGTGGGACGGATTGTTTACCGCGGCGCCGCTGGGACCTGCTTTTCCTTTGATCGCGTTCAGAACGTTGTCGGGGATGTTCAGGGGTGTCCGTGCCGTAGGTGATGTCTTCGGTGTAGCCAACATGGCCTGGCCCTTCTTGTCGAGGACGTACCTTGTTCTGCACAGGTCGCAGATTCTGACCCTGACCCCGGCCGCTCCATAGGCTCTCAGCCCCGAAGGAAGGCTGCAGTTCTCCGGTTTTCGAGTGTACTCGGTGCCCTGCAGCTGTGCCTGAGCCGTTAGCGCCGCCGTTGTTGACAACAAGGTGGTCGCTGAGGAGGGGCACGCCGAAGATGCGGAGCATCATGTCCTTCAAGGCCGGCTTCATGGCCGTGGCCGAGTAGAGCAGGACCATCTGCTTCACGTAGAAGATGAACGTCAGGAGGTTCCTCAGCATCTGCCGTCAGTGCGGTAGCCATGCCGGCGCGGGCATGAGGAACGGGTTGCGCTGGAGCGTTGATCACTTGCAGAGGGCTCGGGCCCCCAAAACTCCTGAATGATGTCTGGAAGGTCGCTTGACACTTGCACAGGAGGCCAGGGAAAGGTTTCAGGGCCCCAATCATCAAGACGAGTTGCCAAGTGACCACAAGGAGACAACCACAGCGAAGTACATTGTACCAGTTTGTATGTCTGGTACTGCACCTAAAGCTTCGAAGGCCTTGCGTGACATGAGCGCTGGAACTGGTGCGCTCACACTACTGACGCAGACTGTAAGAGGGTGGCCTGCAATGGACGCTGGATACGCGTATCGACCTGGGCTTGGAAGGGGATGACCAGGTCCAAAGCTGAAACGACAACCATCTTGATGCTTCACTGGTTCCAGAGGGCTGATTTCAAGACGCTTCTGAACATGCCAACCGTCCCCTGCAACCTGTCTCTGACAGCCTGTATCTGCAATCATGTACGCGGAGCTCTGGCCTTGGCAGTACTGTAGCAAACATGAAGGCTGCATGTTAAGCTTGACCTCGAACTCCTCAAGAGGGGGCAACTCAAAGGTCACTCCTAGCTCATCATTGGCATTTTTCGGCTCGAAGGGCACAAGCTGCTCATCGACAACGCCAACCATCCATGTGGAGGCGACGGCGCCTTCGGCGTCGAGGGTGAGCCCGTCCACGGTTGCCGTGGCCAGCTGCGCATTCTGCACACTGTAAACGGGACAGTCACGAAGCCAATGGTTAGGAGAGCCGCACCCTAGACATAGCGAACCTTGCAAGCGTTGCTGCTGTACTGTGGAATCGCCCTTGCTCTTGCCTTTGGACTTGCCAACTCCAGCCTTGCCCGCTGACTTCGCCATCGAGGGCTTGCTCGTAGACTTCCCGTGGGAGGATTTGTTTTTGCCCTTGCCTTTGCCCTTGCTTTTCCCACGCAGCTTGCCTTTTCCTTTGCCATCTGGACTGTAGTATCCTCAGCGACTGGTAAGCGTAGGGGCCTGGGCCACAGCTGCCAGGTCCGAGAAGCCGTCAGCTTCCTCGACGAAGTCGCCCGCCTGGCAGTCGTTCGCCTCGTTTTCCCAGTCGTCCCAGCCGGTGTCCTCGCCGTGGCCTTTCTGCTCGTCAACAAAGTCCTCGTAGTTCTCGAAGTTCTCGAGAGGAACGCCGTCCGGATCCTCGGGCACGGTGGGCAAGTCGTTCTCGTCGTGGACATAATCCTGGTCCTCGGCATTCTCAGCGTCGGGATCCTCGGCCTGGGCATGCCATTGCTTCCAGGGACCTCGTACGTCAGGTCGATGGCGAGGGATGCCTGTCAGAGACATCCCGGCGGGGTACTGGATCTTCAAGGCATCCAGCACCGGACGAAGCTCGTAGCGGTTCCCAGCTGCAACCTGTGACGTCGATTTCATCCAAACGGAGGGCATCCAGAAGCTTCACAACCCGGGCTTGCTCGGGGTAAGGCTCGACATGAGCCTCTTTCAAACGCCGCTCCAGGAGCCTGAACCGGCGTATAAACGCCGCACGCTCTCTCCTTGAAGCCTTGAAAGACTCTCAAACTTCCGGATAACCCCCCCTTGACGGAAAAGCTCCTTGGCGCCGAAACTGGCTTCGAGGTCCTGAAGGAGGAGCTCGATACCGTTCTTGGTGTTGTACCTCGTGTCCTCGATCTCTTCCATGTCGAGCTCGGCCTCGCCACGTAGGCATTCGAGGGCGCGTAGTGCTTGCTCGTTGGGTGGCAGAAACTCACGTGTTATTTCCACCCACCTCTTCAGTCGACGCTTGTAGTGGCGGAAGCAGAAGGGATCTGCTTCGATGTCCCCGTCGTCGAAAGAAGGTGGCGCCGAAATGGCACCAGATCGCCATCTTCTGTAGGCCGCCTTCTCACCATCAGCTGCAGTCGCCTTAGCGTGAGAGCCACCACGGCTGCCCCGCTTTCTCCTCGATGCGCTCGACAGTGGTAAAGCGGAGACAGAGTTCGAACCTGCGCCTGAGCCGGCTTCAGTCTCGGCATCTAAGTCAGCAGATTCAGCGCCATCAGCGGCGCCAGCCTCGAAGTCAAGGAGGTCGTCGTCAAAGAACATGTCGCTAGCCCCAGCTCGGCACTGCCAGGGGTCGCTACCAATGCAAATATTACCGTAGTGGAGCCTGATGGAGCCTGGATCTTCAGCGCACACAGACCATGGGCTAGCGGCTCTTTTTGGCTCTCTTGCGCAACCCTTTCCCTTGAGACGTGTCAGCGGCGATCACATGTGAACGTGGCACTGTCGACAGAATGCTGATTCAGCACTCTCTCTGGAGGCTGCACCTGGGCCTACGTCTCAGCAGCAAACCACGAGCTCAAATGAAACGTCAACACCTACCTGGACCTACCTCGCTCCTGCACAGGCTCACATGGACAGTGGATACAACACCTGCCTGCCAGCCTTCCAGCCTTCAAGCCAGGAGGCTGGGTCTGAGAGAATCGGCATCACAAGCAGGCGGAGGCTCTCATAGGCACTGGGATCGTACCTGGAGACCTTGATGACGATCCTGCCTTGGCCGTCCACGGTGCCCTGGCTGCCAAGGACGCTCGTGCCATTGTCCTTCACGCCGAGAAGGACAGCCAGCACGTCAGTGACTTGGGCAGGCCCCTGCCGCAAGGAGATCGGGGTGACGTGGGAGTCGAAGTGCAGCCCACCGATCTGGACATTCAGGTTGAAGCTGAGGGTGGCTGCGCCGTTGCCCCAGTCTGGTTGAACCTCGCTGAAGTTGAGCCGCCCTCCCTCCGTCTTCACCTGTCCACAGCGCGCAGTTGCTACCGTGCCCTTGTCCGTCTTTCCGTCGAGCCTGCAACGGCCCAACTGTCTGTAAGAGGTTTCAAACTAAAGCATCCTTAAGCAGCTTAAGCTCTGCATGGTTGCAAAAAAGAAGAGGCCCCCCATCCTGCAGCCATCCAACTGGCCAAGCAAGCGCTTGTCGTAGCCTGAGGGTCGCTCCGGCTCCGTGCCTGGCTCGAGGTCGCTGACCTCCCAACTTTCGCGGTCGCCCAGAACCAGGTAGCAGCCGGCAGCTGCCGGATAAGAGTGGAAGCAATGCAAGCTGTTTGCACAGAGCTCTGCGCAAAGTGTGTCGGTTGCACCGAGGTGGGGTTCGTAGGATGTCCAAAGCTCAGCACTCGAGTTGGGATTGGGTTTGTGTGCTGAGGCCGCCCGTGGAAGGCCCACGGTGAACTCCGCCAAGCCGACCTCCAACTGCAGGGCCTCTTCACCTCCAAGGGAAAGCACCTAAAGGACCTCAAGTCTGCAAGTCAACCCAGGCAAACAGAACGCTGTGCCTGCGGGTATGCTGATGACCGACCCGAATAGCGCCGACCAAGCGACGGCCCTCGTAAAGCTCCCGGCACGGAGCCGCAGGACGGTCGGAATGGTTTCGGCAGGCGAAAAGCGGACCTGGTACTGGGTTTAGGGTTTAGGGTTTAGGGGTTTAGGGGTTTAGGGTTTAGGGTTTAGGGCTTAGGGTTTAGGGGCGGACCTGGTACTCGGTCTCAGGTCGAGACGGGCGAAGGCCCTGGACCCACACAGTCGCCACGCGCGGCACCTGCCGGCCCACCAGCTGGATCTCCTCCACAGCTGAGCTCTGGTTCTCCTGGATGGGGAGGAGTTTGCGCGGATCGGCCGAGCCGGACGTGGGCTCCGGCTGGCCGAAAGACATGAG